AAGAGTGGTTGCTCTTTTCACCCTTTTGGGGATACTAAGCCTCCCAAATACGCATCGCTCTTGTCTGTCTTGTTCAGATTTCTGAGTAACTGTACAATTGGTTCCGTATGTGATTACTAGGTTCTTTTCATTCGATGGCTCTCCACTGAAGTAAAAGAATTAAATGTATTCTCTGAAGTTTAGCCGTGGTTTTTCGACACTTTAAAGTCAGTTATTCACTTTAAAATGACACTGAGACAAGATTGTGTAAGATTACTATAACATAGACTGAATGAACAATCATTTGCATTTCAAATGACATGGTCACAAGATCATACACCAGATACTTGATCTACATAAAAATATAAGTGACAGAGCCGGGGGCCATAGCCCATCCACTTTTCGTGACACAAAAATATACATATGCCTATATTCAAAGATGAAATATTCAGGATTGAACGGAGGACATAGCAACAGATGGAACTGCAATTGATTTAGTGAGGTTACATCTTAACAACGTGAATATTGAAGTAAATTTATACTTGTATGCATATAAACTGAGGCATCACTAATACCTTATACCTGTGTGCTTATAGACTGAGGCATAACTACCATTTTATATCTGTGTGCTTATAAACTGAAACACTGATGCGTTTCTATGAAGGAGGTTATTGAATCTATGGTTTGGAATGTTGCTTCCGGCGGAAGCCCAATTTTGAACATAATGCAATAGCTCGAAAAATATATATATCTATACATATAGGGTAATTAGCATTATTTCAGAACTATGATTAGTTTGTTCAGCTATAATATAATAAGCTCGACTATCGCTTAGTGAAGTATATTTTTAAACTGCAACATCTTACTGGTAAGGTTCCAGGTGTAAAAATTCAAAACTGTGTGAATAATAGAGTGATACTTGTTCTAAGGCTACTAAATACTCGATTGAATGTAATTAAGAAAAAAAGTTAACTTTTGTTATGGGGTTGGATAAAGTATATATATTTTTGTTTGAGCAGTTTTTAGTTGCTATTATTTGCAAGTGATTTTTTAAAACAATATAGTAAGCTTTTGCAAGTAAAAGAGGAAGTCATTTTCCTACTAATTACTAACTGCCTTCTATAAAAACAAGTATTTTCAGTAGGTTTATTTGTTTTTTGGTTGTTGTTAAAAAACACAAATCTACATAATGAGCTATGTGTGCACTGCCCACCGCAGATATCAAAACCCATTTTTTTTTTTAGCGTTATAAGCTCTCAGACTTGCTGCTGAAGCACCCAGGGGCTATTTTGTAGAAATGACTTATGATAGAAACTTTCTAACTGCATGATGCCATTCAGTGGCTCAGGGGTAAGTTTTAGGGCTTATAACGTTAAAATGCGGGTTTCGATCCTTGTGGTGGGCACAGCAAATAACCCATTGTGCTTCAAACAAAAGCATACTAAGTAAGTTTACATGTCATCGAATAATTGTTTATGTATGAAATGTAGCGATTATTGGTCACTTACTAAAACATCCGTACAGTAATATGATTTAAGCCAATTTTGATTCAAACCTTTGGAACGTAAACAGAATAATAATAATAATAAAACATGCACTTTAGAAAGTGACCAATCGTCTATTCTTTTTTTCTAATGGAGACTGTTGCTACCAGCTTACAGAACCTGCCACTAGATGACGTTGACATATACTTTCAATGTGAATTAGTTTTGTTATTCCAAGAAAATATATTTAACGTGAAATCAACACATATTTTACTCAAAACTATAATAAACGTAAAGCTGCCATCTAAAATGTGTTGCTATACCTAATCTAATATAAAGTCTGGTATTACACGTGAGTGTCTGAAAACCTTTTAAAATTATAATTAATGTTGAAAAAATATAGTTGTTAATTAATTATTTTTGCCGTTTACTAATCTTTATGAACAGTACAATTAATATTAATTATTGAAATAATACAAGAGCAAGTGACTTATATGTAAGGGGCAAATATAAAACTGTGTTTTAACGTCACTTCCGTCGAGAGCCAGCTTAATGCAGCTATCAAGTTGTTTCTGTTTACAGCTTGGCATTCAACCAAAACCTTCAAAGCTAGAAACCCCTGATAATTCTATTTTAAAACAGTTAAGATGCAATTTCTTTAGTGTCTAATCCAACTTCAATTGTGTCTCTTTGTCTGCAGAGCTTGGAGGGGGGCACGAGAATTGTTTCTTTAAACAATGTTACGGTTAGTTTCCTGAAGATGGTTTTAGTTTGTTGATCAAGTCCACCGGAGCACGAGTAGATTAGTTACTCATGCCCAGAAAAGGATGCGAGTCCAGTTCCATATGTATGTTTTATGTTTTATTTTGCTCTGTCATACTTTAATTTTGAAACTCGTAACATTTATGATTTACTCTGCGTTTAATACATGCGTAATCATTTGATAAGAGAGTCAGTTTCATTTGCATTTACCATCTACGTGTATTTTGGAAGGGAATAAGCTAAAGAGGGCTAAAGGTCAGTATATTTATCTTTGTACCGAAACGAACAGTGTAAGAGAAATGTGATGAAAAAAAAACAGTAGTTTACGCAATTTTATCACAAATAATACTGACTATGTTTTGAAGTAAGTAGGAGAAGAGTAACAAACTGTTCTTGGCAAAAGTCTTTTTAAGTGGAAAGTGGACTACCTGGTCATTCTACAGGAAGCTTGACCATAAATTGTATTTACTTGATTCTCATTATTTATTTAATAGCTACTAATTATCGCCTCATTTGTACACTATTAATCCGTTACTGTCTTTAATGGAGTATAGATAAGGACTGTCTATGGTGGGAATAGTTACAATTCGAACTAGACTCTTCTTAAATTTCAAATCTACCTTTTATATCCCACAAGTCACAGCCCAATAGTTCTTTTTCTCAATACCAGAACTCGCAAGAAAATATATTAACTGAAACTATATTAATGTATGCAGCGTAAGAATTTCAAACTACTCAGTGTTATGGCAAAGACTTATCAAGCTCCTCTTTGACACGCAAATCTGTAACTGAGCGGATTCTAATATAACCAATCTCATTTTTATGACTGTAACATTTCTTACTGGAATAACACTAGAATAACCATTAACATTTTTATTATGTTTATATTCCTAACTAGAATAACACTATCGACCACTCAAATTTTAATTGTGTTAACATTTCTTACTGGAATATGTTTATGAAGTATACATGAATTCCTTTTAGAAGGGGGATATTATAATCTGTGTCATCTGTGATCAGTTGAAATAGAATAATTGTTGAGTCTCTAGGCGTGTTTATTTGTTTTCCTATAGAATCCACTATTATCACACAATCTCATCCTTTGAAACGCTTCACTGTATCAGTTTATATTTCAACACTGTTTCCCTTGTGCTTATTGTATTTCGTAGTTTTTGCCATTATTTGTATTAATATAGTTGCAACATTTTCAACAGTATGCACAAGCTACCTGTTGCATTAAACCTTTATTGAACGTACCCGAATTATCGCGTTTGTTATATAGCAACGGTACAGTTGTTATTATTTAGTGACAAAATGCTAAAGACAGGTAAGTTACGTGGTTTGTTATATTTACTAAATAATCTCTGTTTGTGGTTTCGACTGCTTTAGTTTGTGCCTCTTGGCGATTCTTTGGTTAAAACGTATCGTATTTCTCAAGACCCAAAAATTACGCTGAAAAAAATAAAAATCGAACATTATGTGCATCCTGTTTAGGTATACATATAAAACTCAATGGATAATATGTTAATAAATAATCACAACTTCCGTATTACTTTGACTTGATCGACGTAGATAAAGTATGTCACATTTCCTTTAACAAATAAGATACATAAAACTCAATGGATAATATGTTAATAAATAATCACAACTTCCGTATTACTTTGACTTGATCGACGTAGATAAAGTATGTCACATTTCCTTTAACAAATAAGATACATAAAACTCAATAGATAACGCTAGTGGTAGTTCGTTGTAAATATTTCTAAGTGACTTTCACGTTTTTCTTTTTGATTAAGGTTGGCATGGATGAAATATTTTGAGTTTTTCTAACCTTTTTGGACTATGATCACTTTCACTGTCCACCTCTCCGTCCAGTTTCTTTGAAGTCAAAAAAAGGTCATGATACTTTCAATAGTGGTTTTCCTAGAAGCTGCTCTAGCTGTAGTCACCGCTTCTCTGATGCTGTGCTGGATTCTTGGACTCTCCAGTTATTTCATTGAAGACGGTATGTTCACCTAATCATATATCTAGCATATATGTATATCACTTACGTATTGCATAAGGACAAAATATACCAATTTTCCGACTTGTGGTATTTTGATGGTTGAAACTGATATCGGCCTTAGTGAAACATGACGTGCACATAAGTACAGGTATGAATAAACATCGACGTGTTTACACATGCACATGTGCACACGTATTTATTTATTCATTTATGTGTGTCCCCACCTTCACTCAATATGATGTTAAGTAGTTTTATACGCACTACACCTATAACAGCGTTTCGGCAAATCTGAAACCCGAAAAAAGAAAAGCAATTGCAAGTTTATCGAAACGCTACCAGTAATGATTAGATATCAGGCAAAGCGAAAGAAGATAAAACTGTGATAACTGAACGTCAACAGTAGTTAAGCATGAGACAATTCACTGAAAACTGGTCGTACGTTTGCAACAAATAATCAGGAAAAAACTAAGTTTCTGACGAACGTCCTTCTTCACACACGCACTCATATATATATACTTACTTACACGTTTCGGGTGTTATTCTAGTGAATGTATCATCTGATACGTTTCGCTATGAAGATTTATGTATATATATATATATGCGTGTGTCTGTTATAAATGGACGCTCATTTATGTATATATATATATTATACAGCACAGCCTACCGTTTTAACAACTACAAGGTAAGTTCAGAAAGAAGCTACCACAGATAATACAATACTTAAACTTATCCTCTGAGAAAGGACATGAACACTAACTTAGGTTAAATTTCAGTCACTAACACTGTCGTAAGAATACTCTTCTTAAACTACTATAAATCACGATAATCTGATGGGTTAGGTGAATGAACCCAAGTGTCGAATTTCTGATATTATTGGTAGTAAAATTACGATGATCCCTTGTCTAGCTTTTAGGTTGAGAATTATAAACTGTTAAATCGACAGTGGAGTATTTGATAAGTCATGAGGACCTGATATGAGTCCACAACTGTATATTGTTACTTACTTTTAAAACGGATAAATTTTACAATAACTTTTGGTCTAAAACAATCGAAGACTACTATAGGCTTAGCAGTAGATCAATTTGTCAAGCACAAGATATCTTTAATAACATAACTTTGGGTTATGTTGTTGAAATGAAAAGGCTTAAAAAATATTAATGCTCCAGTCGAAAAGATTCTTTTTTAATGGAGATGTTTTAAAAAGCCTGGTAAACAGATTTCAGATAGATTTTTCCTTATTTTAACCTCTTTGGTTAAGTCTTTAATCATGAACCAGTAGCGAAAACAGTGGCAGATAAAACTCTCACGCATTATGGCAGGGCTTAGTCTAATCGTTAGCGTGACCGATTGTGGGTTAAACATTTTCAAGGTTTGATCACGTGATATGCTAATACTGAACACGGTCAGCAATTTCAGCTGCTGTTGTGTTATAAAAATGACAATCAATTCCACCATTCGGTTAAAAAAGCAGAGTAAGACTTTTGTAGCGTCGGGTGTTGCTGGCTGGTTGCCTCTCCTCTGGTCAGTTATACCTGAATCTTGAGGGTCTCTGACCGGACCATTAGCCCACGTGCCACATAAGGTGTTGTACAGGTTGAAAATAAAACTAATTGTCAACATAATGAGTGGGGTGAGTATCAGTGGAATTCAGCTGTCACGTTGATTTTGAAAAACTCTGAGAGAAGATTTTAATGTATATAGGTACGTTTAATAATCTAACTCCATAAATTTAATTAGCTTTGCTACGTCCTTTTTTGCTGAATCTTGGACGATTTCACAGTTTTTGAAGAATGTCTTAGATTTACGTATATTTTCTACTTTTTTTTTATTTTTATACTGGAAATTAATGAAAGAATAACACAAAGTTGTTTAAGTATTTTCAACAAAGTGTATAACATTGATGTATTGAAATTTACATAGCTTTACATTTCAGGACATTCTGAACTCCTTGAATTTCAGTCGGTATCTATGGAAAATGTAACGTTTTATTCATTACACTTTTTCATAAAATACTTAGGAACAATTTAATGGCACTTTACTCGCTCGTGTACTGAACGGCCAGATCAGAGAACTCTATGATTCAAATATAGCTGTTCCTAGCTTTAAACTACTTGCCTGGGGCAAGGCAATCAGCCAGTAGCAGCCTCCGCCACAAATAATTTGTCCGGCATTTTGAACCAAGTAATGGTACTCACTACTGAACATGCATAGAATGTTTGATGGTATCACATCTAGAGCTTTGAACTCTCGAACTGCAGGGTGAAACATTGACCACTCAGCCACGCCTGGCCCACAAGTAGGTAAAAGTAACTGTTTAAAAAATGAAAGTTATAGATACAATTTATATGGCACAGATGAAAACATTGTTAATAGATATCTTGGGTTAAAACTTAAAAAATTAATGTACTTGTTGTACTTATTAATATTGGTATTGTTTTCGAAAAAGAAAATATCACAAACTGACTCTGAGGTACTTTAGTTTTATTTGAATTATAAATGTATAGATCTGTACAAGGAGAGATTGTTTTGAATTTCGCGCAAAGCTACACGAGGGCTATCTGTGCTAGCCGTCCCTAACTTAGCAGTGTAAGACTAGAGGGAAGGCAGCTAGTCATCACCACCCACCGCCAACTCTTGGGCTACTCTTTTACCAACGAATAGTGGGATTGACCGTCACATCATAACGCCCCACGGCTGAAAATACGAGCATGTTTGGTGTGACGGGGATTCGAACCCGCGACCTGCAGATTGCGAGTCGAGCGTCCTAACTACTTGGCCATGCCGGGCCGTACAGGGAGAGAAAGGGAGTAATGCGGTCGATTTCAATCAATTCGACTTTTGTAACATAAAATAAGCGAAAATACAGCATTATCAACATACCTGTACATACCAAAGTGTATAATATAAGAAATATCAAACTCGTATTTTTCTTTTACAAAGCGTGATTAAACAATGTTAATACGTAAATATTTATTACGAACATTACGCAACCGTTATGCCAATTTTAGAACCTAAAGTAAATGAAGCATAAAGACAGCACATCTGTACTGTTTTTAAAACTAAAAAGACAGCTGGGTCAGAAACCAAAAAGCGATACACATAAAGGACAGACAAATAAAACAAGAGTGCAAACAGCAATGTGGGAATGATCTAATGTATCCTTGAGAGAGAGATACCAGAGGGAGTAGGACCCGTACAACAGTGGGGATGCACTATTAGTTTTTAATTTCCCTTCTGGGAGTAAAATATAACCAGGGACGGTCAGAAACTTTGTTTCTCTTCGCCCCACTCCATGAAATAGCATTAAGTAGCGCTTGACTTTTAAGGGTTCTAAGGCTTACGTGAATGAAAACTGACAATATTAATTTTGCTGGTGACGATGCCACAAGAAATAGGGAGAGCTGTGAGGAGACATGGAAAAGAAGAGTTAGGAGAAGGCGTTCGTTTTTGTTTTTAAAATTTATACTTGCAAGCCTGTTTATTTAAGATAATTCATATAACTAAACCTTTACTTTAACAACATATTGAGTTATTGTCATCTCAGGTTTTATATTTGATTACCATGGAGGCTGGAATGATAACTTCTGAAGATAAACTTTACTTATCACCCTAAGTGGTCTGTTTAGTATCTCATTCTTTTATTATCTTTCCTTGCTTTTCCCCTTTCTTATGAACAACTTTCTTCGCACAACTGGATGCAGGCAATGGAGAATTATTTTAATTGCAGGGGGTTGTGTGTTTGAGCGTCCATATGTGCTCCTGATTTTATGATGTAATTTTTTGATCTAGTTTCATTTCACATACGAGGCTTACAAGTAGAGATAATTTCGAAAAGGTGATGATCCCTCAGATTCCACTCTACTGGGATAGATTTTACCCACATTGTAGTTTATACTTTAGGCTTACTTCTGTGCCCTTTATGTACAAGTTTTCAACTTAATTGTCTAGAACTTACATAGATACAAATAAAGAAAAATTTTCATACAAAAACATTGTCCTTGCTGCCCCAAATTTGTCAATGAAAACTCTAAAACTTGTAGTAAGACAAAACTACTCAACTGTCACTAAACCCATCATCAAGAACTTCAGTGAGAGCTTAGGAGAACAGGCCAACACATCACCTGTTCAGAAGGGGCACCAATGTACTAGATTTCACGCCTAAAGCTGCTTATCACAGCCATCTATGCAAGATGTTGGTTCTTATAGTGTCTGGAGAGTTGATATTAGGATGAAGAATAATAGAAAAAGTATTTAAAGTAAGGAAATCCGCTACTTTTCTTTTTTTTTCGCTTAAAATGGATGAGTTTGAAATAAACAGCAAACTGGAAATTCCTTTTCCAATAATGGTGTTATCCCAACCGTGAAAAGTATTGGGGACTTGGATCGTTGATAATAGATAAGTTAGCCATGAATACCATGTGTTATTGTGACACTTTAGACAATACTCCAATGTCTGCAGTGATGAGAAAAGAAAATACTTGTTTCAAAATGAAACACATCATGCAGTACTGTACAATGTGTCCAGCAGTGGATTTAGTCCATGATCAAACCCTTGGTCTGATGCCAACTGAATTACAATACCATACGACGTATCCAGCAGTGGATTGAATCTATTCTTCAGAGTCCTAACCTGACGCTAACTACGAAATCCCACTACACTTTGAGCCAGTTAGTAATATGGATGATTGTTTACTCAACTATTTTGAACCAACATAGAAAGTGTTAGTAACAGAGTCCAGATTATGGCTAAACCAAAGGTCTTCTAGTAAAATAGAACACCAAAATATGACACTCCCTTGATATACTATCTCTTTCCTTTTGGGACAATATAGTATACAAGTACATACATTAGTTAGCTGAGTAACGCGTTTGTTTAAACGAATTACGTCTTGAAAATCTAATTTTTAGATTTTAATTGTTTTCTCTAAGAATGATATCTTTTTCTAATGTTACTATAAGCCAAAATATATAAAATTTATCTAATCATAAGATAAACAAAGTAAGAGATTGTAATTCAATCATTTATCGAAAAATTAATATATATATATATTAGTTGTAAGAAATCTCCCAACAGATCAAACCGATGAACCCAAAACCACTAAACAAATAAAGGTGAAATCAGATTCTTCATCAGTGTTGAAGATTTCTTCGTCTTCTACTGGTAAAAGTCAAACTTCAGGTTTGAAGGGTGAAGAAACCGCAGCCTCGAAGCCTCTTAAACCTTCAAAATATCTCAGCTGCGCAAACGAAAATAAAAAAGTAGAAACAATAGATGGCGCTGCCAGAAAGGTGGCGTCACAAACAGATGAATCTATTTTCAGGTAAAGTATTTGTTTTATAATCTTTGATAGATAACCTTTCTACATGTACCCTTCTCTAAGTCATTAAAAACGAAATTCAAAAGGGTGATATGATAACGTTTTAGGGAATTATAAACGACGAGGTAAACCTGTAGATATTAAGTGTTAAAAGTACAGAGAGAAGTTTATAATAAGTACATTATAACTGTATTTGAATAGGAATGTAAAATCGTTGAATAAGAAGAGCGTGGAAAATATGAATTACACAATTTAATCTTGTTCAAAAAATTTAAATAGTTGAAATAACTAGTTCTACGGAAACTGAAAGCATCGGACTTCAGAGAAGTCCAAAATAGCAGGCACTCGTATCGTATGACTATTGCTAGATATGGAAACAAGGTGAATCTGCTCCAAAACAAAATACTCCTAAAGTAGCTAAATAAACACAGCGACAAACCGAACGTGATATACTTTATCCAAACTCTAATTATGTTGTATTCTATATCTTTTTTCGTTTTGTGTGACTATTAATATATACATCAAAGTTTCCGCCCCTTTACTCATTTGCGTATAGTTCAATGCTGCAAAAATAAATAATAATAATTATTATAAATATGTTAAAGGAAACATATATATATATATATAAACTGATTGTCGGTGATCTTCCTTTTGTTAAAGATCATTAAAACATAAAACACGGCAGATTCCGGGAAGCCCCCCCCCCTTGACCCTCGCCCCTTACAAATATTTTTTAAAATACAAATATATATAGTAGTAAGAAATCCCCGCAGCCAAAATGTTATGATTTTTGTCTCTGCCCGTTAGTTGCACGGATTACTATTGGTCGACATTTTTGTGAAAGAACACTAAAATAATAGGCAATAACATTACTTACATAATTATTTTTATATACAGAATACAGGTTTCGGTCCCAGACAAACAACTTTGCTAATCTCTTTTATGTTACAAATTTAGCTATGCTGTCCTAGTGTTTGTTTAGTTGAATTTTGCGCATAGCTACTTGAAGGCCGTTTACACTATCCGTACCTAATTTTTAAGTACTAGACTACTGGGAAGGCATCTAATCAACATCACCCATCGTCAACGTTTTGGGTACTCTTGTTAAACCGAATATTGGAATTTGACCGTCACTCTTATAACGCACCAACAGCTCCTGTCTTAGTGAATGAAATGAATGTACAGTGAAATATTAAACCCTAAATTTACTTCGGTTTCTGAAATATATAACTTTTGGTTCTTTGATTATTTGTATAACAATACTATTATTATCTTTAGCATGGCTAAATACTTTTTTACAGCAACATTTTTTATGATAATGATACTAGTTTTCTAGTATCTTAATTTTTGGAAATGTTCTTCAATCATTTATTAAGCCCGGCATGGCCAGGTGGCTAGGGCGCTCGACTCGTAATCTGTGGGTAGCAGGTTCGAAACATGCTCGCCCTTCAGCCGTGGCGGCGTTATAATGTGACGGTCAATCCCACTATACGTTGGTAAAAGAGTAGCCCAAGAGTTGGCGGGGGATGGTGATGACTAGCTGCCTTCCCTCTAGTCTTACACTGCTAAATTAGGGACGGCTAGCGCAGATAGCCCTAGTGTAGCTTAGCGTGAAATTAAAAACAAACAACATCATTTATTTTTAGTTAACAAGATACTGACGCCCTTGGTATTTTATATTTGATGGCTTTCGGTCAGAGTTCTTAACCATTTTAATTTTTTAGACTATTATCACAACTTGTGAGGTAAGCTAATAGGCAATATTAATGTTTACTATTAGATAGTGTTTGAAAACTGAAAATATCCAACTTATAGTTAATTTGATGCGATGGATCAAGATTAATTTACAACTTCAATATTTTAGGTAATGCTAACCACTTGGCCATGCCCGGCTCCAGATAAATAGAGAGGGAGAGAGACAGCGTACGATTACAATTAAAAATCATACTAATGAATAACTGTTTAGTCATTGGCACGTACTTCTGTACCTTTACCATGTACCTTAAATAAAACGAGCACATCGAAAAAATGCGACTTCAAAAAACGTAAACAGCATAAATCTCGCTACCAACTCCGTGTCTTGCTTGAGATGTTTGGTAAAACAACTTGTAAAAATATTGCTGAATACATTAAGTAATGCCATGTTGTCTTAGTCGGATTTTATTTTTATTTGTACGATACATTTTGAAAACCTTGGGCCCGTTTATCTAAACATGAGCACATAGAAACTAAAACTCGTGTGAGTTCAGCAGTCTGGAGTGATGCCACGTTCCTCGTAGTATGCATGTATACTTGTTAAGTTAAATTTAGACTATTAACATTCTGCAGGACTTTAATGCATTAGTAACGTTTGTAAACAATGTACCGCTTTGTTGGGACATATTTCCAGTCAACAAAAAAAGCTTCTAAGTTATCAGTCAGTTTTGTTAACTTTTTCTGAAGTACAGCGAGAGACCAGCGGTTAGTTTACGGATCTACAACGCTTAAATACGAGGCTCGATTCTTCCTGTGGACAGAGAATAGATAGCCCAAATGTGAAGCTTTGCACTAAGAGCAGAATAACAACCTTTTATGAATTACGAATCAATTTTGTGAGCTTAAAGAACCAACGAGATAATCAATAATGCAACTTAGTTGAATGCTATTAAATTGACAACTTTTTCTTTAACTAGTTGGGAACTAAACACCACCAAGTTAACTATGTTCATGAGACTATTTATAATTGAATAATTGGTGGATGTTTCGCCTATTAGCATTTCAATGCCCTACAGTGAAACCAAGGATTCGTGGTTCGTGGCCTATTGCCGCAAAGCCATACTTTGGGGCCGTGGATGCGTTATAAAAGTGATGGTCAAATCCTAATATTCGATCAGAGTAGCCCAGGAGTTGATGGTGGGTGCCGTTGACCACTTGTCTTCCTTCTAGTCTATCATTTAAAAATTAGGTACGGCTATGCGAAGATAGCCCTTACGTAACGTTGCGGAGAATCCTGAAAAAAAAAAGCCCACTTATCATTAGTGTTTGAATTTCTGAAATATGAAGCATATCTATAGTAGTGAGAGGGTTTGCCTTTTGGTAGAGCTTTAGATTTCGGGCCTGGCAAGCCAGGTATCAATCCTGAAGATACCACAAAATATTCCCAGAACTTTTATTTATGGGTGTGTTATAAAAGTGGGATCTTAACATGGATTGAGGGTGGTAGGATGCTGCGGACGGGCTGCCTACCCTCTGGACGGCGGCAGAAAGCCTTCGTAGTTTTGCTATAAATACAAGATATAAGTAATAGTGAGAAATATCATTATATCTTATATTCACCGAAATTTATTAGCACTTCCGTGAAAATGAAGTACAAATAGCTATTTATATATTTCGGAACTCTATGACCTCGTTGTCAGAAAGAAGACGAGTTTGTTCTCTAAGTGTCAAGCCGTGTTATTAATCGTCACCAATTTTAGATTATGAGTTTACATCCTTTACTAATTTCTGTTGTAAAAATATTTTGATTGGTTAGAGGAAATTAGTACAACTATTCCTTAAAACTGATTAATGATACAACTTCTCTTTCTCTGCTCCCCCCAGTGGCACAGCGGTATGTCTGCGGACTTACAACACTTAAAACCGGGTTTCGATACCCATGATGGGCAGAGCACAGATAGCCCTTTGTGGAGCTTTGTGCTTAACTACAAACAAACTCTCTCTTCATATTGTTAACTAGAATAGCCTTTGGGCTGTATGAAAGTCAGTTGGAAGTCTATTTTGCTTCTTCTTAAATTGGTAAAATAGTTTATAGAGTTGTTGTTAGGAGGCAGCAAAATATTACTTCATTTTTTGTGCGTGTGACAACTCATGTCATACGTATTGAAAAATGAAAAAAATCTGAAACTGATGTGTGTTATATTTAAACTAAGTCAAAAGATAAAAAATAATTGTACCAAACGTTAAAATGAAATGACTGTTTAATCCTGCCTTATTCTCCTACTTTGTTACTGTTGTTTCATTCACCATGTATCTGTAGTATAACATACTGAGTAAGTTTCGAAACGTTTTTAATGCTAGGAGATCCGGGTCCGTGTCTTCAAGATCATCAGTTGCAACGTCGTTTGACCAGAATTTAAGTGTTTCAAAAATTCATAGGCCAGAGTCAAACCAGTCAGTAATTTCTTCTGTTGGGGATTACGACCCCTGGGGTATTGGAGGACTGCACTGTGTAGAACATTCCATGACAGAGAATGGATGGGCAGGCAGAGAAAGTAGTGCTGTAGCTGTTACTATGGATAGCTATAGTCACACGAGGAATCTAGTCAGTAGAGAAAGAATAGAGGATTATGTTGAGGAAGATGACATACTTCTTGGCGGAGATGCTACCAATTTTTTACACGTTTTCAGTGATGAAAGTCCTAAATATTTTGGCATTCCTGTGAGGATTTTTTACCACAGCCATTCTAGAAGACCTATAAAAATCACTTTTAAGAAATACAAGAGAATTACTCTGGATCGTAGGAAATGGTTTAGAAAAATTAAATCGTTGGTGATCACTCAGAAGATTGGTTCTTTATCGGAAATCCCCCCATCTTTAAAACGTTTTTTCTCAGGTATTAGGAAGTCTAAGTCATCAAAAATACAAGGACATGAAACGTTCAAAATGTTATCAAGACGTCCTCAACAGTCAGCTCTAATTCCTGAGCTTAAGGGGTTACAAACACAATCACCATTTTTATCTCGTCAAGGAATTAAAGCTTCATCACCAACATTTCATCTTACTAACTTAAGTGGACTTCCTTCAGTCATTTCAACTTCAGAATCACCAACTTCCCAAGGTGCATTATTTCAAGATTATGCACCAGCAACAACATCTAGCATCTTTACAGCACATATTGGTTCGCCTGTACCTCCAAAAATATCACCAACTAATCTAAGTCCTTTTCAAAACTTATCTCCCTCTAACACAGTAGATCTGACGTCCACAACTTCTTCAAATCGGTCAACATCAATATGCATTCCTCAAATGAGCATAATTCAAAGTCCTCGATCTATCTCTCCAATCCTCGTTATGCAACAAATACCTGATTCTGCTTCTCAGACTTTGACTCCAAAGCAATCAGTTTCACCAATTCATAATTCCTTTCTCCAACGTCCCATTTTTCCTTCAGTAATAGGACATCAGAGCTTTACCTTACAACCAACAATGAAAGAAAAGGTTTCTCCAGCCACAATAGAAATTGCAGAACGTGGTCATTCTCTGCCAAAGAGACCAGTTTCTCCACTTTACCAACCCTTCAGAAGTAGTCCCACATTGTTAGCTACTGAACACCAAACATCACAGCCAGTTACTTTTACACATTCTTTAATACCATCATCGGTTTCAGCAAGTGTTTCTCCTCCGAAAAGACCAACTTCACCAGCTTATCAACATTTTACTGGTCTTCCTACCCCTACTTCTCTTGTATTACAACAAAGGTCTTTATCACAGCCACCTACAAGAAATATTTCTCCTATAAGATTAGCAGCAGTAGACAGCCCATCTTTTAAACCTTCTCCGCCAGAAGAACTTATTTTACCAACTTATCAGTATTTTCCCCAAACTTCTACTTCTTCAGCTGTAGTATATCAACATTTTTTATCCCAATCAATACCTAGACATGTTACTGAACTTACTCCTTCAAAGCCCTTACAGCAAAACTACCAGTTTCCAATAGATTGCTCTCAAGTAGCAAAAAATGATACACAGTTAGGTTCAATAAGAAGACCTCAAAGTGTTCCAACAGGTTTATTCTCCTTCTCCACGCCAAGTCACATTCAGACACTTTTCCCTCCTCGAGGTACACCTAGTTACCATACACCAACAGTTCATCGATCTGTGTCCCCAGGAAGATCAACTGGTTTTCTTCAATCCTTATTTGCACAACGGTCTTTAATTTCAGAGCCAGTTAGGGTGAAGGAGACTACCAGTACTGATACTTTTGTCCATAAAAGTGTTTCTCCATCACCACAAAATCTTCCAAAGCCTCCACCAACTGTGCATCCTTTTGTAGATTACACTAGGATAGCCACTCAACCCAAAGAAGCGGATTATCTTGTTGAAAACAGTAAACTGTTCACAATGCTCAGTTGAAGGCCTTAACTCAGAAAGTGTTTTATCTTTTGTTATCACTAGAGGTTGAGAAGCATTTCTTCTCACCGCATACATCGTAGTTTCCTGTTTGTTCGAATATTTAGGGATAAAAGATTGAGTATAAGTTGTTTGAAGGTCAATAGTTTCATTCTGAGAACTCGTTTCGCAAATTGGCTTTTTGTTATAATATGATTCATCTTTTATATCATTATTACATGTTTTGCTTTGTTTGTTGACAAAGACGGATTGGAATATGTCCTCTGCGCGATCTTTCCTTAGGTTTTTCGTTTCCTGAGAAGTTGGATATTCATCATAGATGGATCCCAATAGGCAGGAAAAACAACAACTTCAAAAACCACTTCGTCCACCGACCCCTACAGCTGTCAGAGATAGAACAAATACTTCTACAGCATTTGTTTCACCAAGTTCTCCACATTTACCAAACAGATCTTCAACGGTAAGGGACAAAAAAGGCGTAAGGTTAAACCCAACAGTTACGCAAAGAATCAAACGAAAACGGCCACTCAGCGTAACAATACCAGTATCGAGCAGAAGAAAATCGTTGCTGTCACAACGTAGACTTATGTCGTTGTGTAGGCCGGTCACAAAATTGGAATTTCGTCAGCGTGCATCACCACCGCTTCTATCCAGAAGTGAAAGGAGTGTAGATTCACTATCAAATAATCAAGAATATGAGGACCAAAAGGATATTCGCCGAGTGAAAGAGCGCATATCTAAGAGTGAGGATAAATTTGAAAGGAGATTAACAGCAACAGAAAAAATCAAATACGTTGAAAAGAAAGATCAAAGCGTGCAGACATCTGAACCCGATTCTTTGCAAGTTAATAAACAGTGGAAAAACTATGAGAATAAGCAAACAATTAAATCGTCACCAACCCCAACTCTCGAAAACGAAGCTTTAAAAAGCTTTCAAGATCTTCACAAAAATAAGTACTTATCAAACGAAAGAAAAAAACATGACAAAACAGCATCATCAATCGAACAGCCTGCACCACCAACGAGATCGAAAAGAACCCGTTCTCAGGCAGATACAAATGTGTCTCCAGTTCGGAGAGATATAGAGAAGTCCCCTTACCACAAATTTTCGTCCGATGATTGCAGAGTTAAAGAAACAAAGGCAGATCAGAAAAAACACGTACTTCAAGTATTACATCAAAAAAGTCACCACAGCAAGCCACTACATCAAAGGGAAACAGATATTCCACCCCCATTACCTCCTAAGCTCTATCCGAAAGTGTCATTGTCAAAAACCTCTAAGAATACTCCCCCCGAAGTCCCAGAAAGAACGTATAAAAATATAATAGACATCACAGACATTAAAACTACATCTCATTCACCTTCATACGTTTCAGATCGAGGTATGGTGGAAACTGTGCAATCGGTCAGTGGCTTTCCTTCTCGTAGTTTACTCACAGATGTTCCAAGTGATTATTCATTGCTCATGAGACGACACAATATCAAACAACATTACTTCGACAGACCGATCGTAGGTACGTCTCGTGATGACGTTCCAGTGAAACACAGAAACAAAGGTGCGCCTGTACACGAATCAGTATATTCAAGACATGTATCTGATATCAGAAGTAGAGGTTCAAAGTTTGAGCCAAGGGAAAGGAAAAAATATGAAAATATAATCTATGGAGATAAAACTAGTACACCTACCAGGAATTACAAAAGGCGAACTTTGAAATCATCAAGCCCAGAACACCGTCAGAGAGTTAATAGTGATTCACGAACAACGAGAGAGGAAGCATCTTGGTTTGACAATAATAGTCTTTATGTAGATTTTGAACGATCATTCAGTTGTCCAGAGCAAGAACCTTTTCTAGAATATAGAAGACAAAACACCAGTTCTGGTAAAGTGAAAGGGGACCACAGTGTTTTATCGACCTCAAGATCAAAACAACCGTGGCCTGAAAGTAAAAAAGTTAAACACTATCAAAAATCAAACAGGGAACAAACTTTACAGAAAGAATTTTTTGATTGGTCAGAACTGCAAAGTGACGAAAGAGCAAATCTTGGGAGAAGTGGTAAATATTCAGATACAACAGTAGAGCACCTGAAGAAAAAACTTTCAAATCTTAGTGAATCTGAAGACACTGACGAGCTTTTGAACTTACGCAAGAATACAGTTGACGAGCTGAAGATATCTCTGGACGATAGTTACACCATGGAAGACATAATAACTACTGAGAACGAGAAACAGTCTACCACAGAAAGACAAGAACCACAGACAACAGAAGGAACAGTTTCTGGAACTAAAAAAGAAGATACCAAAACCTTGGAAGGATTTGGTGAGCTTGGTTCTTCAGCGAGTATGTTTTGTTCTCATTCGTCAACATCTTTCTTTGACTCCTCAGACGAGTCGTACGACGAAGTAGACGGAGAAGAGGTAGATGAAAAGGAAAAAGAGAAAATAAAAAGAGAAAAGAAACTCTATCGTATTGCTGAAGAACTTGTAACTACAGAAGAAAAATTTGTTTCTTCTTTACGACTATTAAACGAGGTAAGTTAAAGGTCAAAATGTAATATCATAAATGATTAACATTGATACAATTCTGAAATCAGTTTACTTGTGATAATTGAATGCTTTCATCATAATATTTCATTCTAATTGAAGAAGTTTCATTTTAATTCCTTAATTAACACTTCTTACTTGTTTTCTGCAATACAAAATTGCCCAAATGTTTTTATTGTTACAATGATTTTACCAGAATTAAATTATGTAAATAAAAGGTTTTTCGTTCAGTTTTTCTTTTAGTATTATAAATAAGATGTTGTTATAAGATGTTGTTAAGTTGTTATTATAAATAAGATATGCTGTTCGGTCTGAAGTAGGAAATATCGATGTTCAACTGTCTTATGAAATTAATCTGTTGCAAAAGGTGTTATTAATTTTTTTGAGATTTAGATGGGCTATTGATAACGTTTTCTGCCACAACAGGAACCGTCTTCATGAAATTTATTTGCTGCCACCTATTATTAAACCTAATCTGAAGTATTTGTTCATTTAGGATTCGGCCTGGAATGACTTGGCGGTTAGGGCGCTCGACTTGTAATCTGAGGGTTGCGGGTTCGAATCCCCGTTACCAAATATGCTCGCCCTTTGAACCGCGGAGGCATTATAAAGTGACGGTCAATCCCACTATTCGTTGGTATAGGAATAACTCAAAAGTTGTCGGTGTTGACTAGCTGTCTATCACTGCTAAATTAGGGACGGTAGGACAGATAACACTCTTGTAGCATTGCGCGAATTTCAAACCAAACCATTCAAGTTTAAACAGTTTATTACGCTTGATTGTGAAATGAATAATCTCGATGTTAATATCTCATTATGAAACGATTCATCATAATTTAATAAACACAATTCTGTGAAATAGTAAAAATGAAAGAGGTCTACAATAATGAAAAATTTGAACTGAAGTGATGACGCTCTCATTGATAAAAAATACAACAACATTGTTGGAGGTACCACACAACGTCAATAGCTTATCGTCAATAATATTAACCGATAAAAAATACAACAACATTGTTGGAGGTACCACACAACGTCAATAGCTTATCGTTAATATTATTGGATCAAAAATTTAATTCGCACCAAAATGTTTTGGGGGTTTTGAGTAATGTTATGTTGTAGGTACTAATACGAGACTCCGAAATCTGCTAACGCAATAGCAAGTATAAATTGATATTTACAAAGAAGAAAAGAAAAATGTAGTTTGTGCACATTCTTCATAAGTTTATAAGTGCTCACAAGTATTTTTGTAATTACTCAGCTAAAAATATTTTATAATTTCGAAGGCTTTCCGGGAGATACTCCAACTCTACCATCTAATAAACAGAAGGTCGTATATAACGTTATGTTTTCTAAATAGTCACTCAGTTATTTTCATCTTAAATATTAAAACTTTCATCCAAGAATCTCATTTCCCATTTTCACAGTGAAAATTTAGGCACCACAGAAGCAAGATCATTTTAATCAAACACTAATAAAATGCAACCTGTGACATTAGGTGCCACATAGGTAAAATTACAAAAATGTGTTCAGTTATTGGTCTTCCAAAATTACATAATGAAGCACACAGTTTCACAAAATACGTTTCGAACTATCGCATTGTGTACTTTTTAACAGTTCATGTGTGCATCTTTGCAGTTCCTAATTTCTAACAGATCTCTCCGGATCTGAAATTTGAAACATGTTTTGGATTTCTGTTTTGTTTTTGTTATTGTTTTTTAAAGGCAAAATTACAATAACCAATTTTAAAACTGTTTCAGTTTCATCGGGAATTGATATTTGACTAATGTAGTCTACGACATTACTACTCTCAGCCTCACTTAAAATAATAAGCTCTATAACATTTAAGTTATTTTCAAAATTCAAAATCCCACACATCCTCTCCTACAGATCAGCAGGGATTCGATAATTTTTTTATTTATTTTTAAAAATTAAGCCCTATGTTTTAGTATAGTTATTGAGGAGCGTGTAATTAGAAATACTTATTCAAAGAAATTAAGAGTTTAAATCTGTTAAATGAGGACATAAACACAGTTTCAAACACGGCACCCAAGGAAACTAGAGGGGAAGCTAGAAACACCAATTCCAAAGTCGTATTCAGGTTTGGCAGCCCTGAAAACATATTTATGGCTTCTCACCATGCGTGGGTGACCTTTTTGGACGTCTAGTCCCTCTTGATAGGTATTAAGCCATATAAATGAGGCTATCCCCCGGACTACCCTCTAGTTCACTTGCCATGTTTGGTCCTTCTAGCTTCACATCTGTGGGTATACGTACATACATACAAAGATACAATCTGAATCTCTTAAACATTCTGTAGTTATGTGTTCATGGTTCGGGATGATTTGAGGCAAATTCATGACTAGAAAATGTTGTCCTGTAATGTAGCCAGTACGCAAATATTGCACAAAATTCAGTCATTTGTTATTACTCATTATTCTAGTCACCATATCTCTTATTTTCCCGACGAGGTTTCATAGTTTAACTATCTGCTCGTCAATGTATTGTTACGTCTCCGTTTGTTAATTGATTTTCCGTAAATTCGTTCCGACAAAACTTTAGCGACACAAGTCCTTTCTTAAATAAAACTGGATTATTCTTTCCGAATACAACTTTACGATACACTGAACTTCAACAGTCGCGCTATAACAAACTATAATTCACGTCTCACGAGCTCGTCTTCAACAATACGTCTTTCTCTGACTGTAGTTCAATTACTCATTACCTACACACATTCCCCTGTCACGTTGTGACCATCTTATATATACCAGACTACCCCCAATCTAGTAATCTCCCGATAATTCCCGAAGGTTCGAGAAAAGGAGTGGCGTGATACTAGTCACGTGACCTCGCTAACGCAACAGTATGTACATCAAAAACAGGAAAAGCAAACAATATGTAAAATTTTCCAAATAAAAGCAAGACGTTACAGTGTATTATCTACTTAACCTATATGAAAGCCAGTGTGTGTCACTGTAAGTGTAGTGAGTGTTGATATAATAAGCCTAAAGTAAAGACGTAGCGTGGGATCATATAGCCTAGAGCCAAGTGCATAAAATTTATCATGAAATAAAACTATCGATTCAATTTTAAACTTAAATCGTTTCTGAATTAAATTAAGCTGTTTTTTCTGCTATATCACCAACGTTTTTAATAAAAAACAAACCTTTTTAATCAACAGAGACTCTAAATTAAGAAATCAAACAAATATTTTTTCCAGTTTTGTTGTCTATACATTTCATTTTATACTTTCAGTACATAAACTAACAACATTAGATTATACTTTTGTTGCTAAGCAACATGACATAAAAGCCACTGTTGGAATGTAGTGTTACCAAAACGCACTGGTTTTTCTATACATTAGGAGTTGTTAATCTAACTGATTTTTACCAATAATTATTCTGTGAATATGCCACGAATTCATTTCATGAATGATCTTAATTTTGATTGGCTCACAAAGGAATTTATCGCCGTTTGACTGCCTCGACTGCACTTTTCTGCCTCTTTGTTGGTCAAGTTTGATTTCGCAAAATTTATTTATTTCATTTAGGTATGAAATGTGAGGTTACGGAATACTATGAGGTGGTGGTGGTAGTACTTGCCTTGTCATTGTTGACAGGCTATACGCTAGTTTATAAATAAAAAGCAAAATTGTTCGTCTCTCTGGTGTCTTCACAACACACGTTGTTATAAGGAAAAGGCTGAACCAGTTTATATGAAATTTGTTAAATAAACTTAGGTGAATTCCATCCCCCTCAAGATCGAATTTAAATGGATAAGTAATTGATCTTGGTAGCCATTTCATTTTTTACTACATAAAGCTGACCTTCAGGGTGAATAGCACATACGCACGCCGTCCCACCACACTCTTCAAGCCAACGAAATAGGTGCCGGGCGAGGTGTGGCTACATTTGTTATTACACTAATAATATAATACACGATAATACTAAATACTATTCTGAGCAAAGATTTAAATCTGGAAAAGAAAACACGATTGGATTCAGAAGTTTCATAATTACATTTTACTAAAATTCGGTTATGCAAATAAAGCTACAGATTTAATGAAGTAGACTGGAGAACACTGTAGGATCCAAGGTAATCCCATGTTATACTTTGCTAAAACATATAATTCAATTTACGTTTTGAAGTGGAAATTTCTGTTAACCCTAAACATGGTTTCACTTTTAGTATGATTTGTAAATAGACAGCACTAATACAGATAAACTGTGAGTAGTAAGGTATTTCTTAAATTCGATATTCATGATGATGTATTCATTGTAAGATAACTTATATTCGGATCTACCTATTATCACACAATATTTGTATTGCTGCGCAGTTTTAACGATAACTTGCATGTTGTAACCACTGATGGAACATTTTTCATTCCGTTATTTTAAGAGCCAATTGTTTTTCATGCTTAAAAAGTAAACATTCGCTAAGTAAGTAACTTCAGTTATTTTGTTAGATTTGGCAACATATTTTTATTATTATAAACATACCACAAGTTCTACATATTTTAAGTAAAACAATAATATGCAAACATGAAAATCAGATATTAATCACTGATACCGTTGCAGAGCCTATTTTCCTTGAGTCTGAAAACAAAATACATCAAATGTTGATCACTTGTGAAGAAGATTTAGACAAAGATTTTTTTACATTTACATTGGCAAATTTCCTGTGTTTCTGTCTCTTTAGTTTCTATGTAAAAGCACTCAACCATTGATATCATTAGTGAGTCAGTATTTGTTTCTTTTTTCCTTATTATGTTAAGGATACTTTTCTTTCCTAGGAGTTTAGGAAGTATGTTAACAAAGCAAACAAGATGAATGATACACCAATTATACCAGACGAAACTCTAAATCAGATATTCCGTCATCTTCCTGAGTTACAGAGGCTAAATGAGAATTTTCTTCAGGAGCTTCAAACTAGACTGAAAGAATGGTAGGTCTGAAATTTAAAGGTTTTATTTTAGAAAATGAAAAATTTATATCTTAATTGTTTGAAATAAGTGCATTTCAGGGAATTCCTTTTCTTAAACATCTTTAACCCTTATGAATTTTTCTCCATAATTATACTTTAAGTGTAAATTCATATTCATTCACTCACCCTCAACCTAAGCAGAAACTATAAAGTACTGTTAAAGTTCATGCATTATATTCAAGGTGTTTACTTACACATATAAATTGAAAACGTCCAGATATAATCGAGCATTCTCTGGAATTAAATTAAAGTCATTAAAATTGACCAGTGACTATTTCATTGGCTCACAGGATGTTGTTTGTCTTCATGATGTAACATCTTGTCACATTACAATTTTGGTCAATACAGATAGTAGTTATCCTGACACTATATATACACCTGGAAAAAAGTTAAGCACCCCAAAATATTTTTCAGGATTGCTTATTGAAAATGAGGT